TGTGAGTTCGAGACCAGCTTGGGCTACATAGTGAGTTCCAGGTCAGTCTCAACTACATAGTGAGACTGTCTCAAAAAAAAAAAAAAGAAAAGAAAAAAAATTCCCAGAAATGCATTTCAAGCTGCTGCTTGATGAATTAGGCTCATCTTAGCATTAGTCAGTGAGAGGTTATAGGGGACCAAGCCCCACAGTTGAAGACTGAGCCTAGGGAATTAGGTGGGTGCCCAAGGTAATGACAGAACTAGATCTACAATTCCTCATGTCTGGTCTTGTGTTCATTCTTTCTACTACACCTCAGGACCAGAATCTACAGCTGTTCTGATGAATGGAAATGTTTAACTGGGCTTGGGGTTTGGCCCAGTGGTAGTACACTGCATGTGAAACCTTGGGTATAATACCCAGCATTGGAAAAAAAAAAAGGCGGAGGGTTGTATTTTTGGTTAAATGAGAACAAAAATGTCCTCCCCATCAGTCTTTGTAAGCAAAAAGTTTACACCTGATGCCAGCTGCAGCCACTTCCAAACCAGAGGCCTGATCTTCATGTTGGTAGTTGGTGGCTCTTCCCAAACACTGGGAAAATAATACATTTCGACTAGGAATCACAAGCTTGTGCTCAACACTGCGTTTCCAGCTGGAGCCCAGTGCAGGAATGTGTGAGAATTGGCATCTCTCACCTATGCACACCAGAGAGGTCGTGTTGTCCCCTTTAGTGCGACACACAGATGCTGTTGGAAACCCAGCTGCCTTCAGAAACATGATGACAAGATTTTGTGCTTCAATTAGGTCTGGGTTTTTGCTGGTCTCAGTGTTGCTTATTTTGAGGACGTATTCAGCAGGGCCATCTGCAGTGTCTTTGGTTCTCGAGATGTGAACGTGAAAGTTTTGGTCATCATAGCTAGGAAGTGGCTGGATCTTTGACACTTTTAATCCAAATATTGATTCTACCAATGCGGAGGCTTGGGCCTCAGTGAAAGCAGGTTTGGCCAGGGACTGTGTTTGTTGATTGGCTTCACTCGCCATTGTGTCTGAAGAATGAGCAACCAGAAAGGGGACATGGAGAGAGACTTACTTCAGTGTTTTCTGCAGACAACCCAAGAATGTTGTTCTACATTGGTTCTATATTTCTTCTGATTATTTTTACTCATAAAGTTAAAAAACCAAATCAGTAAAAGAGATTAAGAAGTTTTAGGGATGTGCCGGGTATGGTGGTGCATGCCTATAATCTCAGCACTTAGAAGGGTGAGGCAGGAGGATTGCCAAGACTTGATTGAGTTCAAGGCCATCCTGGACTAAATAGTCTCAAACCTATCCTCAACTCCTAAAAAATGTTTTGGGGCCAGGAGTGCAACTCAGCAAGCAGGAGAACCTGGGCTTGACCCCAATACTGTCAAAAAAAAGTAGCTATTTTAGCAGAGGATTAAAAATCCTTGTACCACGAATCATCTTAAAACCTATCTCCCAAACTTAAGGTCCAGTACTGGAAAGCACCCTGGGGTCACCAAATCGAATCCTACCCTCCCCTCCACATTTATAGTAGAAGTTCAGGTCCTGGGCATTAAGTGGCCAAAGTCCCCTTGTAAGTTACAGCAAGACCCGGCTCTCCAGACTCCTAAACCATGGTTAAGTCCTTTTCACCCACCAGTCTTGGGTTAAAATAATTTCAAATGTGACAGTCTTTCCTGGTGAATTCTGGTAAATTATATGGTTCACATCTAGCTAGCTTGTCACAGGTACTTCAAAGAGAAAGGTGTGAATGGTGGTGCAGAGTGTTGTGCGAGGCCCTGTGTTCTGCAACAGTTGAAAAGTTCACTCACAACCACAGACATCCTCAACAACAAAAAACATTTAAAGAAGCTGGGTGTGGCGGTGCACGCCTTTCACCCCAATATTCTGGGAGGCTGAGGCAGGAAGATGGCTAAGTATGAGTCACAACCAGGCAATTTAGCAACTTAGTGAAACCCTGTCTCAAAATAAAAAATAAAAAGGGCTGGGGATGGAGCTCAGTGTAAGGGTTCAATTTTTTAAAAAATTAATCAAGCAATCAATAAAAAATAAATAAAAGGAAGGACTCGGAACACGTTATAAAGCAGTAATAATGAACTGATGGAATGCCAAAGAAAGTCTTCCACTGACTAAGTATAAACCTGGAATGACCGGATTTGCACTGAAGTGACTGGACTTACCTTAAACTGTGAAGAATATGTGTTCTACTGCAAAGAGGAACAGGGGCTAAAAATAAAACCTATGACCAGTTACAAAAAATAAAGTTATATCTGAGTTTTCTACCTGTAAATTTAATACAGACATTTATAGTTAAGCGGATGCACACTGAGGCCACACTCTTATGTGAAATACATAGGACACACATGAGTAAATACCGAATGGCTTCTCTGGTGTGAAAAACTAAAAGTGTAAATAAGGTTCAAACGGTACCACTGATCATGCGAAATAGGAAGAAACGGGCTAAAGGAGAAGGGGAAGTGGGAGGGGTAGGGGAAAGGAAAGAAGGGAAAAGAAAAAATATGAAAAAAGGAAAAAATGGAAACAAAGTCTTTGTAAATAGGGAAGGGTAAAAGGGAGAAGGGAGGGCAGGGGAATGGGGAAAAAATAAGAACCAAGATAAGTCATGTAGAGGCACAAATTCCCAATGATGAATGTAACTGTATTGTTTACCTTAAATGTACCGATACACTTAATGGGAAATAAATAAATAAATGTGAAACTGTACCACTGTTAAAAAAATAAAATAAAAACCTTCCATTAAAAAAAATTTAATATCTGCCAAAAACAGCTGAAGGCAGCTGAAGGAAGATGGTCCTAGAAGACGGATTTCAACTGGGCTTTTGAGTCTATTGGGAGAGGTGGGGAGGGAAGACTGCTTTCTTCCCCTTGGGAGTTACACTCTAGGTGCCACACACCTGGCCTGTTTCCTGAGCAATGTAGGGCCCGAGCATCCATCAGGAACCAAATCTCTAAGGTTTTTACAATTTTACCTTCTTCTTTTCCCAAAATCGTTTTCTTTCAATTCTTCCTTCACACTAAGTTGTAAGTGATTGATAAACATCTTGGGGTCAGTTGTCTTTTAGAGTATGATTTTGATTGCTGTTCAGGGGATGCAGTTTTGTTTGTTTTTTGAGACAAGGTCTTGCTATGTGGCTCAGGCTGACCTTGAACTCACAATTCAGCCTCAGCCTTCCAAGTGCTGGGATAACAGATATATGCTCCAAGCCCAGCTAAATGAAGTATTGTTCAAACAAATCTTGGCCAGGCATGGTGGTGGCGGCTGAGGCAGGAAGACTGCAAATTGGAGCCCAGACTGTGCAACTTAGAGACTTAGCTGAGATCCTATCTCATAATAAGAACTAAAAATGGGTTGAAGATGTAGCTCAGTGTGAAGGCCCTGGTCCAATCCCTAGCACCAACCCCCTAAACAATCTCAGTACGGTGCAGTGGTGCACATCTATAATCCCAGCACTTGGCCAGCTCAGGTATGAGGATCAAAACTTCTAGGCCAGCCTGGGTAGCCTAGTAATTTAGTAAGACCCTGTCTCAATATAAAAAAATAAATGGGCTGGGCATGATGGTACATACCAATAATCCCAGCACTCAGGAGGCTGAGGCAGGAACATCACTGTGAGTTTGAGGCCATTTTGGGCCACATAGTGAGTTCAAACCCAGGCCAGCCTGGACTACATAATGAGACTCTTGTTTCAAAAAACCCAACCCAAACCAAACCAAAACCTAAAAATAAAAACAAAAACTAAAACAAACAAAAAACCAAAGGACAGGGAAATGTAGCTCAGCATACCCTAGATTCAGTCCTCAGGGCAAGCAAGCAAGCTTCTGACAAGAGGGCAGCATGAGGGAACATTTTTTTCCCCCAGCTTGTAATCCTCCTGCCTCAGCCTCCCTAGTGGAGGGAACTTTTTGAGAGGAAATTGTTCTACATCTTAATGATCTTTAGCAATCCTGGAGGTCGAACCATGCCTGTGAGGCAAGAGCTCTACCATTCAGTCACACCCCTATCCCTGTATCTGGATGAGGCTTTCATTGTATGGTTGCAATATTTGCCAAAACTTAGCTTAAAGATGAAGTGAATATGAGAACTGTCCATCTCACTGAATGTAAATTTTACCTTTAAAAAAAAGCCCTAGCAAGAGACAATCCAGAACAAGGAGGGGAGGTCTCAGAATGCTCAGAATGTCTCAGATCTCACACATTACAGCCAGGCCTGCTAATGCCCAGGCACCCCAGCCCTGTCACACTGAAGGCCACCCTACTTTGCCGAGGGAAGGAGAGGAAACTCTTGGAGGTGTCTGGCTCTTCTCCCTGCCTCAGCCGCAAGACTACACAGCCTGATGACTTGAGTGACAATAAGGGTAAAAGCCTCGCACGTCGTCACCATTCCCCAAGGTCTTTCTTCGTCCACCCACCCAAAGCCGACTCTCCTACCACTGGATGCACATTGCCTCGTGGCACAGGCAGGCGTCCCCAGCCCCAGCCACTGCACACCCGATGATCACTTCTCTTGTTTACTTTCCAACCAAAGGATTTCCTTTCAGAAAGAAATTAAGCTGTTTAGATTTTGTTCACTAAAGGCATTATAACAAAGCCTACATGGGATTTCAAAGTACTTTTTGCACCTAAAACTTTTGGGAATCAACATATCCTGATGCACTGTTTCTTTGGGCTTCAGACTTTTAGGCCGGATTCAGAGTGTAATAGGAGCTGCAGCATTAACTACAAAAGTAAAATCCAATTTCCAAAGTGTTAAGGATGTCAGAGCAACTCTGGATGTGATATGAATTGTAAGCTCTTAACATTGAAAGGAACCTTAAGGGCAGTTGGGGAAGGTCAACTCTCTGCTGGTACAAAAACACACACACACACACACACACACACACACACGCGCGTGAAGGGGCTTTTAGGGATCTCTCTGAAGAATACTTTATCATTGCTGGAAGGGCTGGTGCACTAAAAAGTCATATTCTAGTCCCAGCTCTGCCACATGACCTTTGAAACTCCAGACTCACCCCGTTTCCTCTGGAAAGAGTTAGACTAAATCATCCCTGAAAGTCCTTTAACTCTAACATTCTAACAGCTGAAGCTCTTTCTCTTTGACCTTACCTTGGCCTTTCTTCTTCATGCACAAAGGACTCCAAATCTTAGAATGAATGGTACAGATCCCGTCTGCTTCTGAAGGAAAACAAACATTCAGAAAGAAATGTGCTTGCCACAGATGTTTCCTTCACCAAATCTGTCCTGCATGTGGTGAGGCAGGAGGGAGGCTCAAGCCTTATGGGACAGTTGTTGATCTTTATTTTACCTAGCACGTGGGGAAAAAAATTTTCAGGAAGCCTCAAGGTCTGTACCACAATCTCACAATCTTCGTCCCAGAAACAGGAGGCTGGACTTTAAACTCTGGACTTTGCACAAAGTTACTCCAGACAAGAAATAGGAGTTAAGTCTTGATTCGTCTTTCTCCCTGCAGTGTGTCACTAAACCCACGAACCTCTTCCTTAGCCCGTATTCCCAATCTCCTTTCTTTTGCAAACTTCCGCATCCTTCCAGGGTGAAGAGTAGGTGGTGGATTCTCAGCACCTAGCTAGTGACTTAGTGACTATTAAACACCGAACCAGGTCTGTTTCTACTCCACAGGAAATAAAGCAGGGAATTCGGACTCAGTCATTTCCAGACAATAATGCACCTGGGTTTTGATGTTGAGCGAAGAATAAAAAGCGGTGGGCCAGCAGGATTCCAAGGGATTGCTGACCCCAAAAGCAGGAAATTAAGGGGGTAAGAAAGAGGAGGGCACTCAGGTCAGGTTCATAGTTATGATATTAATGAGGCCAGGGGAGGCTCGGAAATGGTTCCCACTGGGCACTTCCTTCTGCCACTCTCCAAGAGGGGAGGGGGTGGGAGACTTGGGAGTGGTGCCCCGGGTTCTCAGCCTGGGTGAGGACAGGGGAAGGGGCCTCGCATCCCCATCCCTTCCGCCCTGGTGAGGGCCACAGGATCACCAACCCGCCCTCGGGCGTCCTCCGGCGGGGCCCGGCCTCGGCTCCTTGCTCTGCTCACCGTACAATCCCACGTCCCACGTAGCGATAGCGGCCCGCTCCTAAGCGCCAGGGAAGTGGACTGCGAGCTGCTAGAGCTGAGTCCGTCCTTCCAGCAAGCCCCGAGTGCCGAGTTTCTGATTGGCTCCTCTCATTCCTTGCCGCCCAGTCAGCGTAGACTGCTGGAAGGCGTGGCCTGGCCAGGAACACAAGACTTTGCCCTGCTCCAGGGTGTCTGAACAGGAAATTAAAGATGGGGATTGTGATTGATTGGCTTTCTGAAATCCCAACCCCGCCTTCTGTCCTCTAGCACCCCAGTCAAAAATCCATCTACCTTACATAACTGGGGCTCGTTTCTGACTGGTTGCCCAAGGCGCCACCCGCCAATGAGTAGCCATTCCGCACCTTGGGGGGCACCGCTCAGGTCCGCCCCGTCCACGTGGTTGGGTTAGTAGCTTGGACCATTTCTCAGGGTCCAACGGGGCGCTTTTTCTCCCCCACTTGCTAGAAGCTTGTATATTAAGAGGGCCTCTTCGAAAAGGTGGTCAGAGGTAGACGTTAGCTCCTCTTGGCCCAGGAGCGACAGAGGCTACTATAGTAGGCCCTGAATCGGCCTAGAGACATCGCCTCACCTGGGTGCTGCATTGTTGGAACTAAATCTCTATGAAGAGGCCTGCACACTCCTGACGGGAGAAGGAAGCCTGGAAAGAACAGAGCCCCCACCAGATTTTGACCAGGAGGCTCCCAGCAAGGCACTTTTAGTTGCAGTCTTTTTAAGGTTCAGAGGCTGTCTTCTACCCAGATGTTATCTGTACAAAGGATCTTGCTTTTAGTCTTTTCAACACTAAACCGATCTCACAAATCTAAGTACCTGTTAGAACAATTCCTGAATGAAATTCAACTTTATTTCTTGTTGCTAGACTATTCTATCCCCTATTTCAAACGTTTACACTAATTTTCATTCTCATCCCTAGAGTAGAGAAGCAAGTAGACATAAAAGATGTGAACCATGGGTTTTACGGCAGTTACACTGGGAACAATGTGACGTCTGAACATTTAGATAATATATTCCATGACAAATTTCTGGACAGCATCTTGTATCATTTTAAAAAATCCTGTATCATTTTAAATCATGAGGTTATATTCTAATTGCTAAAAGTATAACAAGAGTCGCACCTGGTGGCACATGCCTGTAATCCCAAAATTTAGGATGCTGAGGCAGGAGAATCACTTTGATTTCAAGGCCAGCCTGGACTACACGAGACACTGTCTCAAAACAAAGCAAAACAAAACAACCCCATGAAATAACAAGAGCCAAATGTGATAATACAATTTTCTTTATTAAAAATAATTTACATCATCAGTAACATATACACCATTGTCATCAACTGAACTTTGCCTCCAATATATTTCTATACAATTACTTAACATACATTATTGAACTTAAAACTGTTATACTGTTTTGCTGGCTTTAAATAATAGATAATGATTTGCAGTTGAGATGTATGGTTTGATAGCCCCAAATGTGTAAAATTTGATAGAAAACATCAGCACTGTCACCTGTTCGGGAAAAAGAAAAACTAAAACAAAAGCCGAAACACTGAAAAAGCCTAAGTCAAACCCCTTCCTATACTGTCTTGTACACTCCAAATCAAACTAGACAGTGTCAACACCCAAGCATGTTAAACCTAAAAGCAAAAGAAAGGTGTCACTTAATTTAACCTCAGAGAAACGTCACATTTCTCACCCTGTCACTTGCTACTGACAAGAGGATGCAAACATCATTGTCACTGCCATTGCAAACAATGATGACTGGGTTCAGTTGGTAGCTTTACAGCATTTAGTGCAACCACCAGGGAAAATCCAGGCAATGTGGCTAAAGGAATTCTGCCAACTTGTACTTGAGCGTTCTCAATGAAGACAAGATAAAAAATGACAGCTGTCACCTTGGGAACTTTAAGGTATAAATAGTAGAGGTAATTCAGTGGCTGTATGACATTTAATAGGATTAGCAAGACCCAAAGGTACGAACAAGGCAATGTTATGTAGGTTTCTCAAAAGATAAATGTTGCTGTTGGTAGTGACCTTTGAAATTGTACTTCTAAGTTCACAAAACTGATCTGCTTTCTAGTAGTAGGCCTATCACATTTTTATTTTTGCAAAACAAAATTACGTAGACACAGTCAACAAAGGAGGTTAAATAAACAAATAAATGCCAGTTCTGCAGCATTTGGAGGCAGAATTACCTGATACACACCTGGGAACATAGGTCTGTAACTCTCCTCCCTCAATTTGAAACCAAGCTTCTAGTTTGTTGTATATGAGCAAGAGATTAAAAGAACCTTGACTTTGTTCCTGGAATACAGGTTTGTTTGTAAATGTCATGTTTAAGCCATCACTAGAGAGCTTTATCACCACCTCTTGATCAGCCATGTGTGATGTACATAAACTACAGTAAGAGTACACTTTCTTTGTTTTGTTTTGTTTTTTTTTGGTATTGGGGATCGAACTCGGGACCTTGTGCTTGCGGGGCAGGTGCCAGAACCACTGAGCTAAACACAGGTCTTTTTTAGCCACACAATTTGGAATTACCATTTCTTCAAAGCATGTAACAGGTATTTTTAACATCAACCTATATTATTTTCCATCAAACTCATGTAAATTAAACACACACAGTGACAGATATACAGCATGTACCAAGACAGATGACCTGAAAGAACCAAAGAAAATATTTATAAAAAATTTAAATAAAGACAGGACATTCTTGTCAAATTCTAGTCCAACTCATTGTCTAAATATTTACAAAATGCTTTTAAAAGACTATGATTGGTTATGTGCAAATTTCTCAGGTCTTTATCCACTGGTTTGGTAGTTTCAGTATTTTAGCTTAAAATAAGCATTTTTTTAAATTCTGTGCAATGTGAGCTAACTGAATTGCAAGACCTTAAAACTAAGTCATGTGAAGATCTCCATGTGAAAGAAAAATAAAACATCACCTTAACTTTTTGCTCCTAAGTTTAATTTCTTAACTAAAAAAAGTTACAGGACCTTCTGAAATTAATTACCCAAACTGTTCTGTCTTGAGAGAAATGTTTGATGCAGTATGGTAGAAAAACATGCATACTGAGAACATATGACACACAGCAACAACTTATTGTTCAGTTTTGGTTAAAACCAAATAAACCATTAAAAAAAAAATAATGCACCCTTGGTAAAATACTGTGAAATGACAGGAAATAAAACAGCAACTTTTAAAGAAATGCTTAGGTATAAGGATCCATATAATTTGGGGTAGATAATTTAAAAGTCTAGACTCGAGAAGAAATACGGTTGGAGTCTAATGATTCAAGTTCTCTTTAGCTTCCACAAGGTAAGTTTGTAACGTCAGGTGGTGACACCTAAATTAGGTTACAAAAAGTTCTAGATGAGCAAAATAAGCTAATCCAATTATCAGAATGATACCTCAGATTTGCCACAGGGTACAGTGGCAAACCACCAAAAACTTAAGGGCTGCATCATAGGCATTCATCCTTTTACTGCTAATGCATGTGTGCATGTCACAGAACTGCTTGTATTCCTGCACGGGTCCAAATGCAGACATGGAAGAAACTTTGGCTGCACTGGAGAGGATGATTGTGCTCTGGGGAAGGTTCTCTCCCTGTAATTAGAATGAAACTAAGGGCAAACCTGGCTTTTATGATAGACAAAATGCCAAATGCATCCAGCTCAATTCTGAAAAGGAACTGATATGCTTAAATATCCATTTATAGGGCCAGGGATTTGGCTCAGTGGTTCTGCTGCCTGCCTTGCATGCTCAAGGGCCTGAGTTCAATCCCCGGTATTAAAAAAAAAAAAAAAAAAAAAAAA